GGACCTGGTGGTGCATGCCTGTAGTCCCAGATACTTGGGAGGCTGAGGCAGGAGAATTGCTTGAACCCGGGAGGCAGAGGTTGCAGTGAGTCGAGATTGTGCCACTGCACTCCAGCCTAGGCAAGTGACAGAGTGAGACTCTGTCTCAAAACAAAACAAAACAAAAACAAAGTGAACCAGCTAGAAAAAGGTACCCCTTTCTCCATAATGTTACAGCCTCCTGGATTTTAACCAAAGGCAGCAGCTCTGCTCCCATTCTGCCCCTGACCAAGGATTTTGTGCTCCTCCTTTGACTTGCATTTCTCTCCCCACCGTCTTTCTCCGCTTTCTAAAAAGAGTGTCATGCTTAGCTCCTCTCCTTCCCAGATGGTGGCAGAGGCAGGCCTTGGTCCCTGAAGTTGCCAGCCCTTACTTGCCCTATGCCTCAAGCTCTGGGGTTTGCTGAAGCGAGCATTCTGTTTAATTGTGTACCAGTGTGATTTCTTACGTCTGGGAAAGCTCTTCAGCCCTGCCCACTTCAGTTCAGTTCAGGTGCCCACCATCATGGTTTTTTCAGACATCCTCTAAGTGACCATTCTGGATTGTCCAACGTAAGTGACCATTCTTTTCTTCTGAAAGCCCTGTGCCCTTTGCTTTGCAGACTTCATCTTCCCTATCCACCTGTCTCTGAATGTGGTTTTTGTTGTTTGTTGTGTTTAGTCCAGGACCCCTCCTACCCCATCCCCATGGGTGTTACTCAGGTAGACTTAGCCATCATCTTCACGTTCGACATACTTCCTCTGTATGCTCAGTCCTGTACAAGGAGCCCCTCGCTCCACAATCAGAGATGAGACTTAAAAACTGAATGTTCCTACCACTTGATATTTTCTAAAATGGCCTTAATTTAAAAACAAAAAAGAGAATATAACAAGTGTTGGCAAGGATGTGAGAAATTGGAACACTGTACACTGCTGATGGGAATATAAAAACACTGCTGTGGAAAAAGTTTGGTGGTTCCTCAGAATGTTAAAATGGAATTAGTTCACCAGCCAGTGCCTGAGTCCGTTCATGCTGCTATCACAAAAGACTTTAGACTGGGTAATTTGTAATAATGGAAATTCATTTCTTACAGTTACAGAGGCTGGAAAATCCAAGGTCGAGGTGCCAGCAGGTTTGGGGTCTGGTGAGGGCTCCCTGCTTCAAAGACGGAGTACGTGCTACACCCTCACACTGTGGGAAGGGTGAACACCTCCCTCACACCTCTGTTATGAGAGCGCTAATCCAATTTAACGCCTCCAAAGGTCTCACCTCTTAATATAGTCGTGTGTTCGGGATATATTCTGAGAAATGTATTGTCAGGGCCGGGTGTGGTGTGGTGGCTCACACCTATATCTCAGCACTTTGGAAGGCCTAGATGGATGGATCACGAGGTCAGGGGATTGAGACCATCCTGGCCAACATGGTGAAACCCCGTCTCTACTAAAATATAAAAAATTCACCGAGTGTAGTGGTATGTGCCTGTAGTTCCAGCTACTGGGGAGGCTGAGGCAGGGGAATCACTAGAACCTGAGAGGTAGAGGTTATAGTGAGCCAAGATTGTGCCACTGTACTTCATTCTGGTGACAGAGCAAGACTCTGACTCAAAAAAAAAATGTATTGTCAGAAGATTTTGTAATTGTACAATATTATAGACTATCTTACACAAACCTAGATAGTATAGCTTTGTACACACCCAGGCCTTATGGTATGGCCTATTGCTCATAGGATATAAACCTGTACAACATGTTACTGTACTGGACACTGTAGGCACCTGTAACACAACAGTAAATATTTGTATCTAAGCATACTTACACTTGGAAAAGTATCAGGAAAAATATGGCATAAAAGCTCCATTATAATATGGGTCCACTGTCATATATGTGGCTCTTCGTTGACTGAAATGTTATTATATGGCAAATTCTGATACTATCACATTGATTATTAAGTTTTAACGTATAAATTTTTTTTGTGTGTGTGTGGGACATATTTAGACCACAGTACCCAGCAACCATTAATGTATGAGTGGATAAACAAAATGTAGTATATCCTTACAATGTAATGTTATTCAGCCATAAAAAAGAATAAGGTACTAGTATATGCTGTAATATGGATGAACCTTAAAAACATTATGGTAAGTGAAAAAATAAGCTAGATACAAAAGATCATATATTGTATGATTCCACTTATGTGAAATATTTGGAATAGGTAAAATCATAGTGATAAAAGGCAGATTGGTGGTTGCCAGGGCCGAGGGAGGGAGAAATGAGGAGTGACTGCTTAATGAGAATAGCGTTTCTTTTCAGGGTGATGAAAACATTTTTGGAACTAGATAGAGGAGATGGTTGCTCATTATGAATGTGCTAAATGCCACTGAATTGTATACTTTAAAACAGTTTTATGGTATGTGAATTTTATCTTAAAAAGTTCAGGAAAAAAAAAGCTATGAGTCTGTGAAATAACCCCAAAATTAGCCAAACAAAAAGTGAGTTAAAGTAATTAGGGGTGAGGTTCAAGGGTTATGCTATCCAATATGACAGTCACTGGCGGCATGTAGCTGGCTGTTGAACACAGGAAATGTGCCTAGCCCAAACTGAGGCTTGTTGGGAGCATGAAATTTACACTGTTCTTCAAGTCCTTAGTGTGAACAAAAGAATGTAAAGTAGGCTAGGCACAGTGACTCATGCCTATTATCCTAGCACTTTGGGAGTCTGAGGTGGGAGAATTGCTTGAGGCCAGGAGTGCACAGCATGGTGGTGCATGCCTATAATCCTAGCTATTCAAGAGGCTGAGGCTGGAGGCTCCCTTAAGCCTGGGAGTTAGAGGCTGCAGGGAGCTGATCCCACCACTGGACTCTGGCCTGCTTGACAGAGTAAGACCCAGTATCTCAGAAAAAAAAGCAAACTGTCTCATTAATGATATTTAATAGTGATTATATGTTCAAATGACAATATTTTGAATATATTGTATTAAATAAGATAGATTATTAAAAATTTAAAGAAGTTGAATGCCCATGGAGACATAACACGGAGGTTTAAATCCACACCAAAGTCTATGAGATAAAATGATACCATTTTAAAGCTGGGCAGAAACTTTCAAATCTGATCTTTACCTAAAAATAGGTTTTGATTAGGATGAGAAAGCTGTCAAAGGACAACTAAGGGGGATACTAGAAAGAGTCCTCTTTTCCTGTAGGCCCAGGGGAAAAGGCTGGCCAGGCTGGGGAGGATGATTGGAGCTGGACAATGTCTACTCTTTTTTATGCCTTCATTAAACTCTTTTTTTAAACCATTTTTTCATATAGACCTTATTTTTAAAAAGGTAAATGCAGATGGGTGTGGTGGCTCACGCCTGTCATCCCAGCACTTTGGGAGGCTGAGGAGTGGCTCACCTGAGAGACCAGCCTGGCCAACATGGTGGTTAGTAGAAACCCAGTCTCTACTACAAATACAAAAATTAGCTGGGTGTGGTGGTGAGTGCCTGTAGTCCCAGCTACTCAGGAGACTGAGGCAGGAGAATCTCTTGAACATGGGAGGCAGAGGTTGCAGTGTGAGAGACTGTGCCATTGAACTGCAGCCTGGGCAACGAGAAAGAAACTCTGCCTCATAAATAAATAAATAAATAAATGCAGCCAGGCATGGTGGCATGCTGCTAGTCCTACCTACTTGGGAGGCTCTGGTGGGAGGATCGCTTCAGCCCAGCCTGGACAACATAGCTAGACCATGTTTCTTAAAAAAAAGATAATAGGGCCGGGCGTGGTGGCTCAAACCTGTAATCCCAGCACTTTGGGAGGCGAGGCGGGTGGATCACAAGGTCAAGAGAGCCAGACCATCCTGGTCAACATGGTGAAACCCTGTCTCTACAAAAAATTAGCTGGACATGGTGGCATGTACCTGTAATCCCAGCTACTCAGGAGGCTGAGGCAGGATAATTGCCTGAACCCAGGAGGCGGAGGTTGCGGTGAGCCGAGATCGCGCCATTGCACTCCAGCCTGGGTAACAAGAGTGAAACTCCGTCTCAAAAAAAAAAAAAAAAAAAAAAGGCCAGCGCCATGGCTCACACCTGTAATCCCAGCACTTTGGGAGGCTAAGGAAGGTGGATCACCAGGTCAAGAGATTGAGACCATCCTGACCAACATGGTGAATCTCCATCTCTTCCAAAAATACAAAAATTAGTTGGGCTTGGTGGCACATGACAGTCCCAGCTACTCAGGAAGCTGAGGCCGATGAATCACTTGAACCCAGGAGGCGGAGGTTGCAGTGAGCTGAGATCACGCCCGCTGCACTCTAGCCTGGTGACAGAGCAAGACTCTGTCTCAAAAAAAAAAAAAAAAATTATGAAAAAAAGTAAGTGCAAGTAAATTAGAATGCTTCATAATTAAGCTTGCAATTACTGGTTCTTTGAATCAGGAACTTGGGCAGCTTTCATAGACTGCAGTGTTTTTATAGCTGCTCCTATGATCAAAGCAGCAGCAGGGAGCCCCTTAAATGGTCATTTAAAATTTTTAAATTTTCCTGATTCTATATCTGTTGTCAAAAAAAGTGTAAGAGACTGGGTGTGGTGGCTCACACTTGTAATCCCAGCACTTTGGGGGGCTGAGGTGGGTGGATCACTTGAGGTCAGGAGTTCAAGACCAGCCTGGCCGATATGGGGAAATCCCATCTCTACTAAAAATACAAAAATTAGCCAGGCGTGGTGGTGGGTGCCTGTAGTCCCAGCTCCTCGGGAGGCTGAGGCAGGAGAATTGCTTGAACTCGGGAGGTGGAGGTTGCAGTGAGCTGACATTGTACCACTGCACTTCAGCCTGGGTGGCAGGCTGAGACCCATCTCAAAGAAAGAAAGAAAGAAAGAAAAATGCAAGAACTGAAACAAGATGTATGACCACATTTATCTCAGTTTGCAAGGACATACTTGAAAGAGGCCACTTTCTTTTTTTACCCTTTTTACTTTATACTCATCTTTGTGTTTTACATTTTTTCCTGCAGATCAGCAATGTCTTGTTTTTCATTTTACCGCCCATCTGCATGTGCTTGTTTCGTCAGTATGCAACATGCTTCAACAGCGGCATCTACTTAATATGGACTCTTTTAGTTGTAGTGGGTAAGTGGAGTAGTTTGGGAACATGGGCTGAACGGGAGGAAAAGGAATTCCACATACTTCCGGTCCCCTTTGAACATAATGTTTTGTAAACTAAAGTCACTCTGAGGTCTTAGCAAACTTTTTTTCTGCTTGCTTGCTGGCAAAGGACTCTTGAATTCAGGCTTGATAACAAGGTTGGCATTACTATCACTTGCCTGCATTTGAGACTTCATTTGTATAGTTGCTATTGGGGCAATGCCAGTGCAGTTTTCTGAAAGCGGCTGAAGAAAGTCGTGTGAAACAGTTGAACTCTGGGGAGGCTGGTTTCTAATGGACTAAAATTGAAGAAAAAAATATAGATGTTTTGTGAAATACTTGTATCATTTCCATTTCCTCCCACAGGCAGATTGGGAATTCTTTACACTGAGGGAAAGTTGACTTTTATTTACTGCCTCTTCCCATAAAGGCTCTGTGGATGAAGGCAGAATGTGTTTAACTGTGGAACTGTTAAAGTTCTGATGTGCTAATATTTGGGCCCTGGTTGAAATCCTCTTTCTAGACTTGAGGCTTGCATGCCTGAGTGGTGTGAATTTCTTTCTTCAGTTTCTTTTTTCAGAGAGAGAGAGTGATCTGGTGACTGTGATAACTGTTGGTGAAAGGACTATCCTTAAGCAGTATATTGAATTTGTGTCTCTTCTGTGGTGACCTTTTTATATTGGTTGTAATTGATTCTAGGAATTGGATCTGTCTACTTCCATGCAACCCTTAGTTTCCTGGGTCAGATGCTTGATGAACTTGCAATCCTTTGGGTTCTGATGTGTGCTTTGGCCATGTGGTTCCCCAGAAGGTATCTACCAAAGATCTTTCGGAATGACCGGTAAGCTTGCACTAAACATTTTTGCATTTGCCACTAGGTGTGGTACCCCCTATAACAATGTATATATGAAGAAAAATAGCACATAATTGAGTTCAGCCTAGTGATGAGCTTATCATATACTTGTTCAATATCTACTGATTGTTTTTGTGATCCACCAATATAAATAAACTGGCAGATTAAAGAGGGAATTTTAATGCTTGGGGAAGAACTGATATAACATCAGGGACAAAGAGTCAAATAGTGTCCTTGTTTGATATGAGCAAGAATGGAAAGACCTTCAGTGGGGGCAACATACTGAATGGTGATTTGATACTTTTTGATTTTCTGCTACAACATTTCCTTGAGACAAATCCAACTCCACCAGTTTTATACATCTGAAGTAGACTCCAGACTGATAAACTGGTTCTTGGCGCTATAGATACTGTAGTTTTCAAGTTGCTTCTTTTTTTTGCTTCTGATGAGAGCTGTGTACCTGTGTGCACTCACATGAGTGTGTGTACATGCACACAAACACATACACACTCTTATATACTGTATATATGTTCAAACTGGAAACCCAGAATTTCAGGAAGGATGCATTTTAATAGCCATTGTGTTAGGGTTATACAGTTATTCATCCAGTAAATATTTTTGAACACTTACATTTTACTATGCATTTTTCTAGGCATTGGAATATCACGGTAAACAAAACAGCAGAGTCTTCCTCTAATGAGCTTACATTGAAGTTGGGGAGATTACAAATCAACAAACAAACAAGTAAATAATATAATGTTAGAATATGTTGGGTACTGTGATGAAAAGTGAAGCTGATAAGGGTTTAGTGGTGACTTAGGGTGCTGATTTAGAGTTTGGTCAGAGAAAGTCTTTCTGAGGTGTGTGAAGTTTGTTACTATCTAAAGGCACAGAGGAGATTTAGCTCAATAAAGATGAGAAACATTCCCAGAACACATTACCCACATTCTCTATAGGACACTGTTTTGTCAAAATATGTATAATTATGGCTAAATAGTCTAAAACTATGGATTCAATGAAGCAAATGTGCCCATGGAAGAGTTATACCAGGAAAAGAAAATAATTCATTATAGTTTTACTGGCAGTTTGAAAGGGGACAGGAGCTGTGCAGCTGCTGAGGACTAAGGCTGCTATCTGTGGACACAAATGGAGAAGCATCTATGAAAAATGCTGGCTGCAAGGAGCACATTATATAATTGTGTGTATGATATCCTAATTTTAGAATGAATGAACTAAACTCTTTCTCAGTATGTTTTTGTATTTGCACAAAACTGCCTGGGAGGTGAGGACACCTAACTATAGCCATTGGCTATTCTTGGGAATTACAGTAGAGAGGGACAGCCACTTTTACCTTTCATCTGAACTGGTTGATTTTTTTTTCCTTCCTCTCTCTTCCTTCCTTCCTTCCCTCCCCTTCCTTCCTTCCTTCCTTCCTTCCTTCCTTCCTTTCTTTCTTTTTCTTTTTCTTTCTCTCTTTCTTCCTCCCTCCCTCCCTCTCTCCCTCCCTCCCTTCCTTCCTTCCCTCCCCTTTCTTTCTTTTCTTTTCTTTCTCTCTCTCTCTCTCTTTCTCTCTTCATCTCTCCCTCTCTCCCTCCCTCCCTTCCTTTTTTCCTTCCTTCCTTTTTTTGTCTCACTCTGTGTCCAGGCTAGTGTGCAGTGGAGTGATCTTGGCTCAATGCAGCCTCAACCTCCCCAGGCTCAGGTTGTTCCCCCTACCTCAGCCTTCCCAGGAACTGGGACTACAGGTGCATGCCACCACGTCTGCCTAATCTTTGTATTTTTCATAGAGAAGAGGTCTTGTTATGTTGCCCAGGTTGGTCTTGAATTCCTGGGCTCAAGCAATCCGCCCACTTCAGTTTCCCAAAGTACTGAGGCTACAGATGTGAACCACTGCACTTGGCCTAATTTTTTTTTTTTTAAATAGAGATAGGTTCTTGTCATGTTGCCAAGGCTGGTCTCAAACTTCTGGGCTCAAGTGGTCTTCCCATTTGGCCTCCCAAAATGCTGGGATTATAGGCACAAGCCTCTGCACTTGGCCATGGCCTAATTTTTAATACTAAATATTTATTTTAAAATGAGATAGGGAGAAAACATGCTTTGATTGGATTAGCTGTACAATCTTATCCTGAGAAGCAGGATTTGAATTGAATAGTATAATCTCTGAGTATCCATTAGCAGATAGAAGTATCCTCAAGAAGGTTGCTTATCAGAAAATGAGATAGCAAGAGAGTAAAAGAGGTGGTGGGGCAGGGAGGAGGAAGAGAGAGATAGAGAGAAAGAGAGCAAGGGTGTGAGAGACAGAGAAAGAGCTGTTTGCAAGTAGAAGTTCCTCGTCTTAGATGAAAAGTGGTTCTCCATCTTGCTGAGGCCTTCCAATCGGCAGGGAAAATATGCTTTCAAATGTGGCCAGGTTGGTTTACGCGGTCTCCAGTTTCCAGTCCTTTTTAGTTTCCTCGTTCAACTTTAGGAGAAGTCTTTGGAGGCGGGGAAGGGGTTAAGGATGCAGATGGAGGTAAAGGGCACCAGGTAGGGTCATGAGATGGTTCTGCACTTGGGCACATTTTGACTCTGCCTGAAAAACAAGCCATTTACCTTTTAGCTTTTCCCTGTCTTGAAACGTACCCACCAGTCACCACCATCCTTTCTCTAAACCTGGTGTACATTAGATTGAGAGCCGAGGAACCACTTTGCTCATAGATGTTGTCTTTCAAGTCCCGAAATCTGAGTAAGATATTAAAGAAATCGGAATAAAGGTTTTGTGTTTGTGACATTCTGGAGGCCTGGATTGAAATTCCAAGGGACAGTTTTTAATATATTCATTACAGAAAACCTTGTTTTATTTTCTTTTCTTGGTTCCTGGAGGTAGGGGGAATGCTGTTTGAGCAGGAAAGAAGAAAATAGGGTGATGACATTGGTAGTTAAAGCTTATCACTTACTTTTCTCTCTCTCTCTCTCTCTCTCTCTCTCTGTATCTATCTTGTCGCCCAGGCTGGAGTGCAATGGCATGATCTTGGCTCACTGCAACCTCCACCTCCCAGGTTCAAGCAATTCTCCTGCCTCAGCCTCTCGAGTAGCTGGGACTACAGCCATGAGCCATCACGACCAGCTAATTTTTGCATTTTTAGTAGAGACATAGTTTCACCATGCTGGCCAGGATGGCCTCCATCTCTCGACCTTGTGATCCACCCACCTCAGCCTCCCAAAGTGCTGGGATTACAGGCGTGAGCCACTGCACCTGGCAAGGCTTACCAACTTTAATAATTAAAACAGAGCCAGGTGTAGTAGTACATGCCTGTAGTCCCAACCACTCAGGAAACTGAGCACAGGAGTTTGAGCCCAGCCTGAGCAACACAGTGAAACCTCATTAAAAAATAGAAAAAAAAAAAAGAAAACATATTGTGAGGCAGAGTTGTCTGTGACTGTTTGGGACATCAGCGGCCTACAGCATTTCTCTGGGGAAGATGTGAAAATACAGCCACTCTGTCCTCCTTTGGAGGCAGTGGGTACCATATGTATATATATCCCTGGCTTTGGAAACAATCTGGGTTTGAATCCTAGCTTTACAATTTGCAGACTGTATGACTTGTCTTGACTCTTTCTATTTCCTCATGTGAAAAATTAGGTAAACAATACTGTTGATCTCTGGGACCTTTGAGACGATCCTGTAGAGCACTTAGCACAATATTAAGCAACATGGAGAGGGCTCAGTCAAAGTTAGCTCTCCTGACTGCCTGGGGCATGGAGAGGAGAGTTCTGCCTAGCATTTCTGAGATATGCCTACGAATTGATGGAGAGAATGGATGTTGAACATTTTAATGAGCAAAGAAATAAAAGGTGCATGTTAAGGGAAAAGTAAATAAGGATTTCAACTCTATTTGTACATCTTCAATTTTCCAGTGACCAGGGAGGACAAGAAGGCCACGCCTCTTTGCATGTACTTTGCTGTCCATGATGTGGGACAGGTGGCAGCTCTGCAGTAGAAGTGGCAGACCAGACCAAAGAAATCACGTCAAAACTGATTTCTGTAGATCAGGGATTTCTGGTTTATCTGCCTGAACTTACAAATAGTAAACATTTATCTCCTTTTCTTTCTTTTTCCCTTCCCTCCATTCCTTCCCTCCCTCTCTCCCTCCTCCCTTCCTCCCTTCCTTGATATAGACTTTGCTGGAAAATATTCTTTTTTTTTTTTTTTTTTAGATGGAGTTTTGCTCTTACTGCCCAGGCTGGAGTGCAACGGTCCAATCTTGACTCACTGTAACCTCTGCCTCCCGTGTTCAAGCAATTCTCCTGCCTCACCTTCCCGAGTAGCTGGGATTATAGGCACGTGCCACCATGCGTGGCTAATTTTTGTATTTTTCATAGAGATGAAGTTTTGTCATGTTGGCTTGGCTGGTCTCTAATTCCCGACCTTGGGTGATCTGCCAACCTTGGCCTCCCAAAGTGCTGAGATTACAGGTATGAGCCACCACCACTTCTGGCCTTTGCTGGAATATTCTAAACACACATTAAAAATAGTTTTAATGTGAGATTTTTGGAGAAGAGACAGTAGAGTGTGGTGGCTGAGTTTGGATCAGACAACATGGCTTTGAATAAAAATTCACTAAAAGAAAAAAGGTTCTGGGACCCCATTTTGCTTATCTGTAAAGTAGAGATTACGAAAGTATCTTCCTCATGGGGTCAGAAATACACGGGAAAATTAGGTAAGACATATAGTGCAGTGGCTCACACAGAGTGAAGTCTCGATAAGCGCTGGTGGTTGTTATGAATGTCTTAGTGTTTTTTTTTTTTTGAAATGAAGTCTTGTTGTTTTGCCCAGTCTAGAGTGCAGTAGAGTGATCTCGGCTCACTGCAACCTCTTCTCCAGGGTTCAAGTGATTCTTCTGCCTCAGCTTCCAAGTAGCCACTTGCTACCATGCCCAGCTAATTTGTATTTTTAGTAGAGACGGGGTTTCACCAGGTTGGCCAGGCTGGTCTTGAACTCCTGACCTCAAGTGATCCACCCACCTTGGCCTCCCGAAGTGCTGGGATTATAGGCATGAGCCATTGTGCCCAGCCTGAATTTTTTATTGATATATAATAGTTCTACATATTTTATATAGGGAAATTATTAATATTCATTATATCAATAGGATATAAATGTTGGTTTTAAAGAAAAAAACTTTCTTTCATCTTGCCTAGACTTTTCTAAGACTATGCAAGACATTCAACTATTGATGGTTATTAATATTTTTTAGATATTTTTATTTTGAGAAAAGAAATGAGAATAAGGAACTATTACAGGGTAATTGAAACCCCCCCCTTTTTTGTGACAGGGTCTCACTCTGTTGCCCAGGCTGTAGTGCAGTGGCGCAATCACAGTTCACTGCAACCTCTGCCTCCTACACTCAAATGATCCTCCTACCTCAGCCTCCCGAGAGGCCGGGACCAAAGGTGCCTATCACTGCACCTGGCTAATTTTTGTATTTTTTGTAGAGACAAGGTTTTATCATGTTGCCCCGGCTGGTCTCAAATTCCTGGGCTCAAGAGATCCTCCCACCTTGGCCTCTCAGTGCTGGGACGACAGGTGTGAGCCACTGTGCCCAACCTTGTATCCACTTCTTAAATGATTTATTCTGCTGTACTTGTTATGATTTTGTCTTTATAAAATCTCAGGAGAGCCTTCACTTTATAATCCACTTTAGTTTTTGAATCCTGAATGGCAAGGGAGCAGTCTGGGATCTGCCTGCCTTGCTAACATTCTTGCTGGATGACTTGAAGCTGGAATCTTAAACTCTCTGGGCCTTAGTGCTTTAGTTATAAAATAACAGGGTTGGACTAGCTCTCCGAGGTCCCTTTCATGACCAAATGCTATAGTGCTGTAACTATCAAGGGCTGGCTGTTCTAAATAAATTATGTTTTAGTAGCTTATAGCAGTGGATCTTAACCAGGGACATTTCCAATTCTTACAGGACATTTAGAAAGTTTGTGGACATGTTTTTGATGGTCACTATGATGGGAGGTTTTATCATTTATAAATTTCATTTCATTTCAGAAGAACAAAAACATTACCATTACTTTAAAGGGCAGCCAATGATAGTGGTTTTCAAGCCTAAAAAGTAAAAAGTGGTTTTACATTTTACCAAAGTAAAAAGGGACACAGGGTATAGGCTTGAAAATGACTGCTTTAAAGGGTAGTTAATGATAACAGTAACGGCTTTACTATAAAAATATTATGATGATGGTACTGGGTTATTAAATTTTGGTTTGGAGAATATAGGAAGCAGTGGTGCTAAGGGGTTTCCTGACCTTGTGTTTCAGTGTGAGACCCTAATGGGCTGGAAAGTTGAAAACAGGACCAGAGGCTGTCATCAATCACAGTTTAGAAAAACATGCTGTTGGGACCTCTTACTCCTGGATATTTCCAGCTCTCTTTTTCCCAGGGCCTCTGTTGACTCTGGGGTCTGCTGGGCTGGCTGGCTAGCTTTCTGCTGGCCACATGGCCTCCATTTACTTCTCCTGGCTTCAGAAACTTGTGTTCACAGGATGTTCTCGTTGGCCAGCACATTCCTGTACACCTTCTGGACCAGACAAGGGGAGGTGTCTGCAGATGGCCTCCTCTAAAGAAAACATGTTTCATAGCTGGGTGTGGTGGCTTATGCCTGTAATTTCAGCACTTTGGGAGGCCGAGGCAGGTGGATCACCTAGGTCAGGAGTTCAAGATTATCCTAGTCAGCATGGTGAAACCCCGTGCCTACTAAAAATATAAAAATTAGCTAGGTGTGGTAGCGGGTACCTGTAATCCCAGCTACTCTGGAGGCTAAGGCAGGAGAATCGCTTGAACCCGGGAGGCGGAGGTTGCAGTGAGCCAAGATTGAGCCATTATACTCCAGCCTGGGCAACAGAGGGGGACTCTGTCTCAAAAAAAAAAACAAAAAAACCCAGAAAGCATGTGTTTTCAAGCTTACTGCCTTTAAACCATTTGGCAGTACTCTGTGGAGCCTTTGGTGATTGCAACAGCAACTCAGTCACATTTTCTCTGAGAGTATGATATCAACAACAATAATATTATTTAAAGTAATATTTATTTTTTGGTGGCACATGCCTTTAGTCCCAGCTAAAGGACCCTGAGGCAGAAGAATTGCTTGAATCCGGGAGGCGGAGGTTGCAGTGAGTCAAGATTGTGCCACTGCACTTCAGCCTGGGTGACAGAGACTCCATCTCAAAAAAACAAAACAAAATGCAAAAACAAAACAAAAAAGTAGTATTTATTTTTTAAAATGATGGTAAGGATAAAAGTAGTAATGGATTTTATTAGCACATAACATGTACCGGGCACTGTGTTAATGCTTACAAGAACACTATGAGGCACAATGTCTTAATTTTTATGTGGGAAAGCCTGAAAGAGTTGAGTTATTTGCCAAAGGTCTCACAGCTAGTAAGCAATGGAGGCAGGATTTGAACGCAGGTCAGTCTCATTGAAACTCCTGTGCCTTGAATCATTGTTGCCTTGTCTGACCTGTGCCTAATTCCTAAATCACTGGATACAGAGAAGCGATGCACTTTGGACGTTTCTGATTATATGTTTATCCTACTGAAAAAGGTCAGATTGCCTTGGCATGAGTCATAGACCCTGAATCCCAGTGGAAGAGTTATTGTGGGTCACCAGGGGCCCTGTGTGTGATGGCTGTGGGCTCTCACCCTGAGCGGGCGGCCTTTCATCCAGTAGATGAACACCAGGCGAGGCCAGGAGAAAAACATGCCTCTCCTGAGGATTAGCTGCCTGGAGCCTTTCCCACATGTATTTTTTCCTCTGGCAGAGGTTGAGCTATAATTCCTGTTCATTGCAGTCTGAAAGTTGGCAGCTTGGTCAATGATTTCCTGTGTCTTGATGATGAATGGCTTTCCTATTTAAGAGATAAATTTTTATTTTGAGGGTTCAATGCCCTTTGATTTCTTTATAATGGAATTTCATTCAAATTGGCTTCCTAACTGTGACCTGTTCCAGGGCTCTTGGCCAAAGTAAATTGTGCTAATGAGGAATAACAGAAACTTCAGGAAAATTGTGTACTCCTAAATTTAAGTCATGGACGAGGCCTTGGAAATCATCTAGTCCAGCCCTTTCATTTTACAGATAAGGAAATGAGTCCCAGAGAGAAAAGAAAGAGCGTGTCTAGGATCACGTCGCCACTTCTGGCTCTTTCTACTGAAATGACCTCCACTGAAGGGTGTGAGGATAGTATCGATTATTTGTCTGAGACTTGTCATTTCAAAAGCTTGTTGATGTAAATTCTTGTGCATACTAGACTTGTAGGTTGTCAATAAATATAGACTATTTTTCTTAGTCTATTGAAATTTTTTCTAAAAACTTTTTATGGATGTGCTAGACACATAGGACAAATTTTCTTTTAAACTAGGATGCATTATGGTTTGTCAGTGGTCTCTGTTTTACTTATGAAAGTTATACATGTTCACTTTGTCGAACAGGGGGTGACAAACCATATCCTGTGGGCCAAAAGGGTCCTGTTTTGCAAATCAGGTTTTATCAGCATCCAGCCATGCCCATTCATTTACTTATTCTCTGTAATGGCAGAGCTGAGTAGCTGTGGCAGAGACCTTAGGACCTGCAAAAGCTGTGTGTGTATAAGTATATATATGTGTGTGTGTGTGAGTGTGTGTGTGTATATATAATTTATTAAATATAATTTATTAATATTTATTTAATATAATTATACACATTTAATTATTAATGTATATCTTTGATTAAATATGTATTTATAATTACATGTAACTATATATAGCATAACTGTGGTTATATATAATATAAATATATTTATATAATATATTCTTTATACTTACAAATAAACATATATTTAATTAAATACTTATATAGTTTATTTTATGTTCAGATTATAGCTCACTGTAACCACAAACTCCAAGGCTCAAGCTGTGAGCCACCATGCCCAGACCGAACCCAAAAACCCTTTATAGAAAAAAATTGTTAAACCCTACTGTAGGACATCTGAAAAAATACAGAGAAATCAAACATTTGAAAAAAATATAGAAAAATCGGCTGGGCATGGTGACTAACCCCTGTAATCCCAGCACTTTGGGAGGCCAAGGCGGGTGGATCACAAGGTCAAGAGTTTGAGACCAGCCTGGCCAACATGGTGAAACCCCATCTCCACTAAAAATACAAAAATTAGCTGGGCATGTTGGCACACACCTGTAATCCTAGCTATTTAGGAGTCTGAGGCAGGAGAATTGATAGAACCCAGGAGGCGGAGGTTGTAGTGAGCCAAGACTGTGCCACTATACTCCAGCCTGGGTAACAGAACAAGACGCTGTCTCAAAAAAATAAATAAATAAATAAAAAAGAAAAAGAAAAAGAAAAGAAAAGAAAAAAGTACAGAAGAATCACACAATGGAAACAGTTATCCATATCTCACCCTCAGAGATGTAGGTTGACTGTAATTTTACCATTCTTATGGCTAAATATTTTGAAAATCTCTATTTCCTAAGGATAAGTTACTTGAAGTGGAATTCCTAAGCCAGTGAGTGTGAATGGCTTTTTGAACCTTAGTACTTAGTGCAGAGTTTCTTTTCAGCTTGCATTTCTGGCAATGCCTGTAGCTTGCCAACGTTAAACAAACAAACAAACAAGAACTCCTTTTCTAATGGATTTGGTTTTGTTTCATGGATTCAGGGGCAGGTTCAAGGTGGTGGTCTGTGTCCTGTCTGCAGTTACAACGTGCCTAGCATTCGTCAAGCCCGCCATCAACAACATCTCTCTGATGACGCTAGGAGTTCCTTGCACTGCACTGCTCATTGCAGAGCTAAAGAGGTAGGTGCCATGATTCCTGCCTACCCCTTAGGCTGTCCCTGTGCTGGGAACATACCAGCTCAGGGTTCCTTTGCTGCTCTGCAGCAGAAGAGGAATTTTATTCCTCATGAAAGTTAGTTGCTGACTGTTGGATGGAAGCAGGTTTGATGGTTTGGATCATTCCATTGATCACAGCTAGCTTACCAGGACCATCTCAGCGCCTAGACCAAGTTGTCTAGACTTAATTCTGTAGAAAAGAAAAGTTCTAAAAGGTTATTGCATTCAGACACAGAAGGAAAAAGAGGAAGGGGGCAGGGAAAATGAGTTTGTATTTATAAGGAAATATGAACTTCAGGTGGACTGCAGTTGATAACGATACTTTCTCTGAGGTTTAGTGTCTCATTTACAATCTATCAGGTAACGGTTTTGCTCTTTGCATTAGCATTTTCTTTTGGGAACTTGTGTACTCAGAGTTTAGGTTGATATTCAGAAACATTCTCGTTTAGCATTTGTTAGTACATGATTTTCCTCTTGAGATCACACTGTTGCACTCTAACCTGGGCAACAAGAGCAAAACTCTGTGTCAAAACAAAAACAAAAAGAAGAGAAAAAAGGAAACACTTCTTTTTATTTGCAGCCATTTAAATAATTCTTTTTTTTTTTTTTTAAGGTGGAGTCTCACTCTGTCACCCAGGCTGGAGTGCAGTGGCACATTCTCAGCTAACTGCAGCCTCCGCCTCCTGTTTTCAGGTGATTCTCCTGACTCACCCTCCTGAGTAGCTGGGATTACAGCTGCCTGCCACTATGCCCAGTTAATTTTTGTATTTTTTGTAGAGATGGGGTTTCACCATGTTGGCCAAGCTGGTCTTAAACTCCTGACCTTATGTGATCTGCTCACCTTGGCCTCCCTAAGTGCTGGGATTACAAGTGTGAGCCACCGTGCCCAGCCTAAAAAATGTATTTTAATTCAGATCTTCTCATTCTTGTGGACATTGAATGTCTTAGTTGAAGTCTTGTAACTGAAATCTTAGTTTGATAGTTGCTCTGTGTAATGTGTTAAGTCAGCTTTCTCTCCTCTTTGATTTGAGAGGAGATATACATTTTTTTCTACTCGCTTTGCCGCTAGAGGGTTGCTTTGATTGTCAGCAATAACAGTCAGGGCCAAAGGCGGTTGGAAATGGTATAGTACTTGAACTTGCTGTCTGGCATCTTGCTGTCAGATCTTGCCTAGTTGCCTTCTACATCCGTCAAGGACTGGGGATGTAAGAGTCTCTTCAGACACAGGCTGAAGTGGTCCTAGAAGAATACTTATGTTTGAATAAATAAAAAAGCATTCAGTCCCTACCCTCTAAAAACTGTAATTTAAAAAAATTAGCTGTCTACTTTATCACTGATGTTACTTGTTAGAGCCAGAAGGGTTCTTAGCAACCTCAAATCTTCCTTCTCACTTGTATACTCACTCAAGTGTTTACTGAGTTCTTACTGAGTGCAAGCTCCCTGGCTCTTGATGGGCACCTCATCAGAATCACCTGGGAAGTGCACTAGCAAGGACAGGTGCTAGTGCAGGTGCTAGCACTGCCTCTGTAAAGATTTGGATTTTGGAGGTCTAGGATAGGAGCCTGGACATTTATAGATTTAAAAAGCTCAAAATCTTGGGGCTTGGGTGAGGGTAGGGTTAGAGCGGGGATGGAGGGAGATGGTAGGGGAGATGAAAAAGGGAATGACTGCTAATAAGTAAGGGCTTCTTATTGGAGTGTTGGAATCATTATAAAATGAGATTGTGGTGATGGGTTCAAGATATCAAAACACACTGACCTGTATACTTTTTTTGTAAAACGGAGTCTCACTCTTGCTCAAGCTGGAGTGCAGTGGGACCATCTTGGCTCATTTTAGTCTCTGCCTCCTGTGTTCAAGCAATTTTCCTGCCTCAGCCTCTTGAGTAGGTGGGACTACAGGCACCCACCACCATGCTCAGCCAATTTTTTGCATTTTAGTAGAGATAGGGTTTCACTGTGTTGCTCAGGGTGGTCTCTAACTCCTGAGCCCAAGCAGTCTGCCTGGCTCAGCCTCCCAAAGTGCTACGATTACAGGCATGAGCCACTGTGTCTGACCCGATCTGTACACTTTAAATAGAGGAATTTTATGGTATGTGAAATATGCCCCAATAAAGCTCTAAACAAAACAAAAACCCTCAGAACCTGCCCAGGTGCTTCTGTGTGGTACCCACCCGTTTGAAAGCCATAGATCTATTCTAAACTGTACATTTCAAGACTGAGGATCTTAGCCTTGTGGAAGAAACACTTTCTCTATTTCTGGGTAGTAGTTGGGAATCTGTGATCACAAAGAGATATAGAGATGAAGAATTTGTAGCCTTTAATTAATAAATGATTATCTTATCATCCAACAGACTTAATGCTGAATAAGTCTGAAGTCATATACTTTCATCAAAATATGTTTCTTCTCATGGAGAAAGTTCTCAATGAAGCTCACATCAAGCCACTGCCCTTCATGGAAATGTTCTCTCATACTTTTATAAATCCAAAACTGCTGTAACTGAGGCCTGGATTTAGAATCCTTTTTGCCACTGTGGCTACAGGAGCAAAGCATGTCTGCACAGTGATGACCTTGAGGGCTGGCTGAGGTCCAGATTGCCATCTGTAGCACAGGACAGAGTGACTTGCTACTCTGTCCTCTTCTAGCCAGGTTTCTTAAGAGAATTTAAGAAGAAAGCCCAGCTGGGCGTGGTGGCTCACGCCTGTAATCCCAGTGCTTTAGGAGGTCGAGGTGGGCAGATCACTTGAAGTCAGGATTTGAGACCAACCTGGCCAACATCGTGAAAACTTGTCTGTACTAAAAATGCAAACACTAGCTGGACATGGTAGTGGGCACCTGTAATCTCAGCTACTCAGGAGGTTAAAGCAGGAGAATTGCTTGAACCTGGGAAGCAGAAGTTGCAGTGAGCTGAGATCACACCACTGCACTCCAGCCTGGGTGACACAGAAAGACTTGTATTAAAAAAAAAAAAAAAAAAGAAAAAAAAAAAAAAAAGAAGAAGAAGAAGAAGAAAGAAGACAGCCCTTCTTTTTTTTTTTTTTCTTAGTAGAGACAAGGTCTCACTGTGCCCAGGGAGTCTCAAACTCCTGGCCTCAAGCAGTCCTCTTGCCTCAGCCTCTTAAAGTGCCGGGACTGCAGGTGTGAGCCACTGCAGCCAGCCTGCCCTTCCTTCTTAAAGCCCTTGCAGGCTGGTTCCCCTCCCCATCTTTAGTCTAAAATGTTCATTCAAGAGTCACTAATGAGCTCTTTTTAAAAAACTAATTTTATCAAGTAACTAATATTTTTTGTAGATAAATTGGAGGATATAGCCACCAAAACATAAATCTATCATTTTTTCAGGAAAATTAATGTTTGATAGCCTCATAGTTTTTATGTACTAAATAAAAATGAAATAACCAAACCTGCCATGTGATGATAATGACGGTTAGCCCTCTGTTGTGTCTTCTTACAGACTTTTTTATTCTTTGCCATCTTTTTTTTTTTAATCTATCTGTATTTAAAAAAATAAAAATTAGCTCATTCTTATATACGTTAATCTAAAATTTGACTTTCTCACTTAGGAACGTATTGTATCTTCTTTTTCTGTCAATAAATACAGATCTTGGTCCTCATTTTAAATGGACATATAGAATTGTAATTTACTTTTAATTTATTTTGATTAGTCAATATATTTCCTTTTTTGACTGTTTAGGTTGTTTCCAGTTTTTCTTTATTATAAATATCTCTGTGATGAACATCTTTGTGTATCTTTGTGCACTCATTACACTGTTTCCTTAGGCTATGCTAATGGCCTTTTAACTTCCAGATAGAATCGCTTGTTTGCAGTGCTCCCTATCCTTGGCAGTCTGAAGAATCTGACACTGTCAACCTCCTCCTCTGAATTTTCTTCTCTTGGCTTCTGTGATCCTGTGTGATATAGGCTCTCCTACCTGACTGTTCCTACTCTGCTCTTTGCTTCCTAAGGTAGGCATTCTCCAAGACTGTGTCTTCAACCTTTTCTGTTTCTTGAAAATCTTATCCACCCTCTTGCGTTCAGTTGACATCACTCTGCATGATTCTTTGCAGTCCATCTTTGTCTCTCCTGAAGTTTAGGCCCATATTGCCAACTACCTGCTGGGTATCTCTGTCAGAGCCTTCCCAAACTATAATAGGCAAGATTACTGGCTTGGCTCCATGCCCTCTTTGCCTATGATGCCACTCAATGACCTTTCCCAAATTCTGTTTTAAAGTTCCCAAATTATTTTAATGGTGTCACTATTTTCTGAGTTCATTACACTTGAAACCCTACAATCATCATTGGGTCCCTCACCTCCTGCCACCTCAAATGATTGCTGGATTTCATGTAATCACCTTCTGCAATGTTTCATCTGTCACCTCCTCCCATGCTTTTGCCCCACCCTCACACCCCTCCAGTGGACCATTGTATTTGTTTTCTAACAGTCTCTTCTTCCTCCAGTCTCTTCCTTCAGACTGTTACTCCCTCATCCTTTACAAAAATCTTCAGTGGCACCTCGTTGTCTAAGCTTCCCTTATAAAAGAGCATATTCTTCCTCTGGTTCCTTCTACATGTCCTATGACCAACCAATTTGGACTGGCTCCTTGTTTTCTTGTCTTCAGGTCTTTGCTTATACTTTCTTCTCCCCCTGGAATGCCCTTTCCTACTACTACTTTGCAAAATCCTACCCCTTCCGTAATGCTCATCCTAGATACCAGCTCCTTTGTGAGGCCTTTCTTAACCCCTGCTTATCCTCTAAACCAGACATAATTGCTCTATTCCTAAACTCTTTGTGCTTTTACATTGTACTTAAACCATTCTCCCTTTCATCCTCCTCTAGCCAACTCTGGATGTTAACACATCTTAAGGGTCTTTGTCAAACACATAAATTGCTAGTGACAACATCTGAAATGATTTCCATTTGTAACATTCAGTCCAGTGGTGCTAGCTTATATTAGGCTTGAAGTGAATA